ACCAGGTGATCAGGCTGAGGAAAGAAGGTGGGGAACTCACAAGAAACGATCAAAAGGAATGCGAGGAGCTCAACATGAGATTTAAGGAAGTATTCATAGTGGAGACAGGAAGGACTCTGGGAAGACAGGACAGAGGGAGACACTAACAGGGAATAGACCAACAAGTGCTGAATGATATGCACCAACTGAGGAGGAGGTGAAGAAGCTGCTAAGTGACCTTGATACCTCAAAGGCAATGGGACCGGACAACATCTCCCTGTGGGTCCTCAGGGAGGGAGCAGATATACTGTGTGTGCCATTAACCACAATCTTCAACACATCCCTTGAAACTGGGCGACTACCTGAGGTATGGAAGACTGCAAATGTACTTCCCATTTTTAAAAAAGGAGACAGAAAAGAGGCACTAAATTACAGACCAGTGTCACTGACATGTATGCAAAGTCATGGAGAAGATTATCAGGAGGAAAGTGGTGGAGCACCTGGAACAGAACAAGATTATAAATGACAACCAGCATGGATTCATGGAAGGCAAATCCTGTGTCACAAACCTTCTGGAGTTTTATGACAAAGTTACAGAAGTAAGACACGAGAGAGAGGGGTGGGTTGATTGCATTTTCTTGAACTGCAAGAAGGCCTTCGACACAGTTCCTCACAAGAGACTAGTGCAGAAACTAGAGGATCAGGCACGTATAACAGGAAGGGCACTGCAATGGATCAGAGAATACCTGACAGGGATGCAACAGTGAGTCATGGTACGGGATGAGGTATCACAGTGGGCACCTGTAACGAGCGGGGTCCCACAGGGGTCGGTCCTAGGACCAGTGTTATTTTTGGTATATGTGAATGACGTGATGGAAGGGATAGACTCAGAGGTGTCCCCATTTGCAAATGATGTGAAGTTAATGAGGAGAATTAAATCAGATGAGGATCAGGCAGGACTTCAGAGAGACCTGGACAGGCTGGACACGTGGTCCAGGAACTGGCTTCTTGAATTCAACCCTACCAAATGCAAAGTCATGAAGATCGGAGAAGGGCAAAGAAGACCGCAGACAGAGTATAGGCTAGGTGGCCAAAGACTGCAAACCTTGCTCAAGGAGAAAGATCTTGGGGTGACCATAACACTGAGCATGTGTCCGGAGGCACACATCAACCAGATAAATGCTCTAGCACATGGCGCCTGGCAAACCTGAGAATAGCATTCCGATACCTTAGTAAGGAATCGTTCAAGACACTGTACACTGTGTACATCAGGCCCATACTGGAGTATGCAGCACCAGTTTGGAACCCACACCTGGTCAAGCACATCAAGAAATTAGAGAAAGTGCAAAGGTTTGCAACAAGGCTAATTCCGGAACTCAGGGGTATGTCCTATGAAGAAAGGTTGAGGGAAATCGGACTGATGACATTGGAGGACAGGAGGGTCGGGGAGACATGATAATGACATACAAAATACTGTATGGAATAGATAAGGTGGGCAGACAGAGGTTGTTCCAGAGAGGGGACACAGAGACAAGGAGTCACAATTGGAAGCTGAAGACTCATCTGAGTCAGAGGGATGTTAGGAAGTATTTCTTCAGTCATAGAGTCATCAGGAAGTGGAATAGCCTAGCAAGTGATGTAGTGGAGGCAGGAAACATACATAGCTTTAAGACGAGGTATGACAAAGCTCAGGGAGCAGAGAGAGGACCTAGTAGCGATCAGTGAAGAGGCGGGGCCAGGAGCTGAGTCTCAACCCCTGCAACCACAATTAGGTGAGTACACACATGTACACACAAATGCACATACAAACACACATGCACTCACTCTCTCTCACACACACAATATGCAACAATATGCAAGGAAGCTCAGGAGAGGTTCGTACCCATGGGTAACAGGAATAATGGGTAACAGAAATGAGTAACAGGAGTAATGGGTAACAGGAATAATGAAAAAGCCTCCCTGCACCTTTGGGTGCAGGGAGGCCAAAACCAAGTATGCTAGGGAATGGAAGAAATATAGGAGGCAAAGGACAAAGGAGAATAAGGAGAGCAGTTGTAGAGCCAGAAATGAATATGCACAGGTAAGGGAGGCCTAAAGACAATATGAGAATGACATATCAGCAAAAGCCAAATCTGACCCAAAGGTGTTGTGCAGCCACATCAGGAGGAAAACAACAGTCAAGGGCCAGTTAGTCAGGCTGAGGAAGGAAGAAGGGGAGGCCACAAAAAATGACTGTGAAGTATGTGAGGAGCTCAAAATGAATTTCAAAGAAGTGTTCACAGAGGAGACAGAAGGGCCTCCAGAAAGGCGGAGAGGTGGGGAACACCATCAAGCGTCGGACACAATACATAAAACAGAGGAAGTGAAGAGGCTGCTAAGAGAGCTAGATACCTCAAAGGCAATGGGGCCAGTTAACATCTCTCCATGGGTCCTGAGAGAAGGAGCAGAGGCACTTTGTGTACCAACAACAACTATCTTCAACACATCTATCGAAACAGGGCGACTACCTGAAGTATGAAAGACAGCAAATGTAGTCCCAGTTTTTAAAAAAGTTGACAGACACAAAGCATTAACCCTTTGACTGTTTCAGTCGTATATACACATCTTACGAGCCACCGTGTTTGACGTATTTATACTCAAAAATTCTAGCGGCTTCAAATCAAGCAGGAGAAAGCTGGTAGGTCCACACATGAGAGAATGGGTCTGTGTGGTCAGTGTGCACCATATAAAAAAAATCCTGCAGCACGCAGTGCATAATGAGAAAAAAACTCCAACTGTTTTTTTTGGATTAAAATGCTGACTTTGTAGTGTATTTTCGTACAGTATTTATGGATGTATTCTCGCTTTCTTGGTCTCATTTGATAGAATAGAAAACACATTATAGTGGTGATTTTGATTGGTTTTACTATGAAAAGAACCTTGAAATGGAGCTCAAAGTAGGGGAAATACATGTAATTATTTTTGGCCGATGTTCAAAAGTAAACAAATGATGTCATTGTCCAATAAATGTCCCACTAGGCATTCTAATAAGCAGTCATGAATGGGTTGACATTATTTATACAATTATTACAACATTACAGTACATAGTAGTCTGCATAACAGTAAATTTTCCATTTTTTGTTTGAATAAAAATTCAAAATAGAAAGCAAGAGTAATATCAGAGGGGCCTGGAGACGGGACTGATGAATGAAGAAAATGTTATTTTTGAGCCAGGAATGTCTGCATTGTTCATTCCGGACCCTATTTTGAAATTGGCATATTTTTTTTTAATTTGCATGAAACTGGCCAAATTGCAAATTTCTGACCACGTTATTGGGCAGTTGAAATCGGTAAATGGGCAGTTTCTTGTACTCAATCGATAGAACAAATGGAGTTCTAAAGAAATAGGTATGAGTTTGGTCGACTGGAACAATGGAATTAGCCGATAATAGGGCTCAAAGTGGGTGAAATCGCCGATTCGTAAATATCGCCGAGGTCGCTAACTTCACGAGAGTGTAATTCCATAAATTTTTCATCAAATTTCGTTCTTTTGGTGTCATTACCATCGGGAAAAGATTCTCTATCATTTCATAAGAAAAATTTTTTTTTTTTTTTTCAAAAATTTTTCAACACCAGGAGACACCTAAGGGTTTGGGGTTTCGACAGTCAAGGGGTTAAACTACAGACCAGTGTCACTGACGTGTATAATATGCATGGTCGTGGAGAAGATTATCAGGAGAAGAGTGGTGGAGTACCTAGAAAGGAATGAGCTTATCAATGACAGCCAGCATGGTTTCAGGGATGGGAAATCCTGTGTCACAAACCTACTGGATTTCTATGACAGGGTGAAGGCAGTAAGACAAGAGAGAGAGGGGTGGGTAGACTGCATTTTCTTTGACTGTAAGAAGGTGTTTGACACAGTTCCACACAAGAGAGTAGTGCAAAAGCTGGAGGACCAAGCAGGGGTAACAGGGAAGGCACTACAATGGATCAGGGAATACCTGTCAGGAAGACAACAGCGAGTCATGGTATGTGGTGAGGCATCAGAGTGGGTGCCTGTAACAAGCGGGGTGCCACAGGGATCAGTCCTAGAACTGGTGCTATTTATGGTATTTGTGAACGACATGACGGAAGGAACAGAATCTGAAGTGTCCCTGTTTGCAGATGATGTGAAATTGATGAGAAGAATTCAATTGGACAAGGACCAGGCAGAACTACAGAGGGATCTGGACAGATTGAAGGCCTGGTCCAGCAACTGGCACCTGGAGTTCAACCCCACCAAGTGCAAAGTCATGAAGACTGGGGAAGGGCAAAGAAGATCACAGAGTACAGTCTAGGAGGCCAGAGCCTACAAACCTCACTCAAGGAAAAGGATCTTGAGGTGAGTATAACACCAGGCACATCTCTTGAGGCACACATCAACCAAGTAACTGCTGCAGCATATGGGCACCTGGCAAACCCAAGAACAGCATTCCGACATCTTAATAAGGAGTCATTCAGGACCCTGTACACTATGTATGTTAGGCCCATATTGGAGTATGCAGTGCCAGTTTGGAACCCTCACCTAGCCAAGCATTTAAGGAAACTAGAGAAAGTGCAAAGATTTGCAAACAAGACTAGTCCTGGAGCTAGGGGATATGTCCTACGAGGAGAGGTTAAGGGAAATCAAATTGATGGCACTAGAAGACAGGAGATATAGGGGGAAATATAATAATGACATGTAAAATACTGAGAGGAATTGACAAGATGGACAGAGACAGGATGTTCCAGAGATGGGACACAGCAACAAGGGGTCACAGTTGGAAGTTGAGGGCTCAGATAAACCACACGGATGTTAAGAAGTATTTCTTCAGTCACAGAGTTGTCAGAAAGTTGAATAGTCTGGGAAGTGATGTAGTGGAGGCAGGATCCATACACAACTTTAAGAAGAGGCATGATAAAGCTCCATGGAGCAGGAAGAGTGACCGAGTAGTGGCCAGCGAAGAGGTGGGGCCAAGAGCTGTGACCTGACCCCTGCAACCACAACTAGGCGAGTACACACACACACACACACACACACACACACACACACACACACACACACACACACACACACACACACACACACACACACACACAGAGCAAGACTGGACTTCGTGTTAACTCTGAGTAGCTCAGACATTGAAAACATCACATATGAAACTTACTTATACCCTTGCAAAGACAATGGCCTGACCCACAGTACACTCATTCTCACACTCTTTCATACTAACTCCCACTCTCTCTCTCTCTCACACATACACACTCACACTTTCACACACACAGGTGAGGATGAACCAACAAGATTGGACCTCGTATTCACCTCAAATAGTTTGGACGTCGAGGACATCACATATGAGAGGCCCCTTGGAGGTAGCGATCATGTGATTCTGAGCTTTGAATACATAGTGAAGTTACAAGTGGAGAGGTTAACAGGAGTAGAATGGTAAAAGCCAAACTATAAAAAGGGAGGACTACACAGGTATGAGGAACTTCCTGCAGGAGTTTCAGTAGGAAAGAGAATGGGTAGCAAAGTCAGTAAACAAAATGATGGATTACATAACAACAAAATGCAAGGAAGCAGAGGAGAGGTTTGTTCCCAAGGGCAACAGAAATAATGGGAAGACCAGAACGAGCCCTTGGTTCACCCAAAGGTGTAGTGAGGCAAAAACTAATTGCACTAGAGAAGACAAAGGACCCTGGAAAATAGAGAGATTAGCTGAAAAGCCAGAAATGAGTATGTACAATTAAGGAAGGACACCCAGCTACAGCACAAAAACAACATAGTATCAAAAGGCAAGTCTGACCTGAAACTGTTGTATAGCCACATCAGGAGAAAGACAACAATCAAGGATCAGGTAATCAGGCTGAAGAAAGAAGGTGAGGAGCTCACAAGAAACGACCAAGAAGTACGTCAGGAGCTCAACAGGAGATATAGAGAAGTATTTACAGTGGAGACAGAAAGGACTCTGGGAAGTAAGAATAAGGGGAAACACCAACAAGAGATATACCAACAAGTGCTGGATGAAATACAGCCTCTCCTCACTTAGTGATGTACTCGTTTACCGATGCCTCGGACTTATGATGGGCTCTCTGACCAGTATTTATACCTAAATAATGTATATTAGAGCTGATTTCCTCTATTCTGTTTATTTCAATATACAGTACACTACTGTATAAACATTTAAAAATATACCAAAAATGTTATGAATGGTGCAAAGGTGACATTAAAACAATATCAAAGATAGTCGACACAAACCCACTACCATTATAGAATGCACCTCACTTAGCAACAAATTCGTTTAACAATGTGGTCTTAGGAATGGAGTTCTGTCGTTAAGTGAGGAGAGGCTGTACACACAAATGGGGAGGAGGTGAAGAAGCTGCTAAGTGAACCTGATATCTCCAAGGTGGAGGGAAGGGACAACATTTCTCTGTGGGTTCATAGAGAGGGAGCAGACATGTTGTGTGCACCATTAACAAAATCTTCTAAACATCCACTGAAACTGAGGTATGGAAGACTGCAAATGTAGTCCCAATTTTTAAGAAAGGAGACAAACACAAAACATTAAACTTCGGCCAGTGTCACTGACGTGTATAGTATGCAAAGTCATGGAGAAGATTATCAGGAGAAGAGTGGACAGGGAGGCAACAATGAGTCATGGTATGTGATGAAGTGTTAGAGTGGGCACTTGTGACAAGCAGGATTCCACAGGGGTCAGTTCTAGGACCAATACTGTTTTTGGTATGTGTGAAAAACATGATGGAAGGGATACACTCAGAAGTGTCCCTGTTTGCATGTGATGTGAGGTTAATGTGGAGAATTAAATCGGATGAGGATCAGGCAGGACTACAAACAGAGAGGCCTGGACAGGAAATGGCTCCTCGAACATAACCATGCCAGACACAAAGTCATGAAGATCGGGTAAGAGCAAAGAAGACCACAGATAGAGTGTAGGCTAGGTGGCCAAAGTCTGCACACCTCACTCAAGGAAAAGGATCTTGGGGCAAGTATTATAACGAGCACATCTCCTCCTGAGGTGCACATCAACTAGATAACTGCTGCAGCATATGGGTGCCTGGCAAACCTAAGAATAGCATTCTGATACCTTAGTAAGAAATCATTCAAGACTCTGTACACTGTGTATGTCAGGCCCATATGCAGCACTAGTTTGGAACCCACACCTGGTCAAGCATATCAAGAAATTAGAGAAAGTGCAAATGTTTACAACAAGACTAGTCCCAGAGCTAAGGGAAATGTTCTATGAAGAGAGGTTAACGGAAATTGGCCTGATGACACTGGAGGACAGGAGGGTTAAGGGAGACATGATAACGACATATAAAACATTGTGAGGAATTGACAAGGTGGACAGACAGGATGTTCCAGAGATGGGACATAGAAACAAGGGGTCACAATAAATCAAAGGGATGTTAGGAAGTATTTCTTGAGTCATAGAGTTGTCAGGAAGTGGAAGAGTCTGGAAAGTGATGTAGTGGAGGCAGGAACCATACATAGTTTTAAGATGAGGTTTGATAAAGCTCATGGAGCAGGGAGAGAGAGGACCTGGTAGTGATCAGCAAAGAGGCAGGGCCAGGAGCCATGACTCGACCCCTGCAACCACAAATAGGTAAATAGGTGAGTACATGCACACACACACACACACTCACTAACACACACACACACACTAACATACACACACACTAACACACACACACACACAAACACACACAACACACTAACACACACACACACAAACACACACATACACTAACACACACACAAACACACACATACACTAACACACACACACACAAACACACACATTAGCACACACACACACACTAACACCAACACTCACACCAACACTCATACTCTCACACAGAACAGAAATAATGAAAAAGCCAGGAGAAGCCCTTGGTTCACTCAATGGTGCAGAGAGGCCAAAACCAAGTGTGCTAGAGAATGGAAGAAGTATAGAAGACAAAGGACCCAGGAGAATAAGGAGAGCAGCCAAAGAGCAAGAAATGAATATGCTCAAGTAAGGAAGGAGAACCAAAGACAATACAAAAATGACACAGCAGTGGAAGCACTATTGTACAGTCACATCAGGAGGAAAACAAAAGTCAAGGACCAGGCAATCAGGCTGAGGAAGGAAGGAGGGGAGTTCAAAAGAAACAACCAAAAGTATGTAAGAAGCTCAATATGAGAGTCAAAGAGTATTCACAGAGACAGAAGGGACTCCAGAAAGATGGAGAGGTGGGGTACACCATCAACTGCTGGACACAACACATACAACTGAGGCGGAAGTGAAGAGGCTGGTAAGCGAGCTAGATACCTCAAAGGTGATGGGGCCAGACAACATTTCTCCATGGGTCCTGGGAGAGGGAGCAGAGGTGCTCTGTGTACCACTAACAAAAATCTTCAACACATCAAAACAGAGCGACTACCTGAGGTATGGAAGACAGCAAATGTAGTCCCAATTTTTAAAAAAGGAGACAGACATTCAGCATTAAACTACAGACCAGTGTCACTGACATGTATAGTATGCAAAGTCATGGAGAAGATTATCAGAAGAATGGTGGAGCACCTAGAAAGGAATGATCTTATCAATGACAACCAGCCTGAATGCAGGGATGGGAAATCCTGTGTCACAAACCTACTATAGTTCTATGACAAGGTGACAGCACTAAGACAAGAGAGTGGAGTGGGTAGACTGCATTTTCTTGGACTATAAAAAGACTTTTGACACAGTTCCACACAAGAGATTAGAGCAAAAGCTGGAGGACCAGGCAGGTAAAACAGGGAAGGCACTGCAATTAATCAGAGAATACCTGACGGGAAGACATCAGTGAGTCATGGTACGTGATGAGGTGTCAGAGTGGGTGCCTGTGATGAGAAGGGTTCCACAGGGGTCAGTCCTAGGACCAGTGCTATTTCTGGTAGTATATATGAATGACATGACAAAAGGAATAGTCTCAAAAGTGTCCCTGTTTGCAGATGATGTGAAGTTAATGACGAGAAATCAATTGGAGAGGACTACAAAGGAATCTGGACAGGCTGCAGGCCTGGTCCAGAAACTGGCTTCTGGAGTTCAACCCCACCAAGTGCAAAGTCATGAAGACTGGGGAAGGGCAAAGATGACTGCAGACAGAGTACAGTCAAGGGGGGGCCAAAGACCTCACTCAAGGAAAAGGATCTTGGGGCGAGTATAATACCGAGCACATCTCTTGAGGCACACATCAAGCAAATAGCTGTTGCATCATGTCAGGAAATTAGAGAAAGTACAAAGGTTTGCAATGAGACTTGTCCCATATAGCCAAGGGGCATGTCCTACAAGGAGACGTTAAGGGAAATCGACCTGACAACACTGAAGGACAGGAGAGATATGATAACATATAAAATAATGAGAGGAATAGACAAGGTGGACAGAGACAGGATGTTCCAGAGATGGGACACAGCAACAAGGGGTCACAATTGGAAGTTGAAGACTCAGATGAGTCACAGGGATGTTAGGAAGTTCTTCAGTCATAGAGTTGTCAGAAAGTGGAATAGTCTGGAAAGAGATATAGTGGAGGCAGGATCTATACACAGCTTTAAGAAGAGGTATGATAAAACTCATGGAGCAGGGAGAGTGACTTAGTAGCGACCAGTGAAGAGGTGGGGCCAAGAGTTGACTCGACCCCTGCAACCACAATTAGTTAAGTACTAACAATCACTCATACTCTCAGAATAACACTAACACTCTCACACTAACGAAACACTGCAGTAGGTCTACTGGCCCATATGAGGCTGGCCCAAGCCAATGCCCCAACCTAGTCAGGTCAGGTCAGGTCACATTCACTTAAGGCAGGAGCACGGCATCTGACCTAGTAGCACAAGCTGGTCAGGTGGTCAGGTCCAACTCACACTGACCCACACCCATTCATGTATTTACCTAACCTATTTTTAAAACTACACAATGTTTTAGCTTCTATGATGGTACTCAGGAGTTTGTTCCACTCATCCACAACTCTATTACCAAACCAGTGCTTTCCTATATCCTTCCCGAACCTGAATTTTTCCAACATACAACTGTTGCTCTGAGTCCTGTCTTGGCTAGATATTTTTTGCAAGCTATTTACATCCTCTTTATTTATTCCTGTTTTCCATTTATACACCTCAATCATATCCCTCCCAATTCTACGCCTTTCTAGAGAGTGCAGATTCAGGGCCCTCAGACTATCCTCATAGGAAAGATTTCTGATACATGGGATCAACTTTGTCATCCTCCTTTGTACATTTCCCAGAGCATTTACATGTATATCCATTCTGTAATATGACCAAAACTGTGCAGCATAATCTGAATGAGGCCTAACCAAGGATATACAAAGTTGAAGAACAACATGAGAAATCCCATTATTTATGTTTCTTGATATGAAGCCAAGGATTCTGCCACAAAGGTGGCAGCAAAGCAACTGCAAAGAATACAGACTGATAACACTAACATCCCATATCATAAAAATCTTTGAAAAGGTTCTAAAAAGCAAGATCGCCAACCACCTAGATACCCATCAGTTACACAACCCAGGGCAACACGGGTTTAGAGCAGGTCACTCTTCTGACAAGGGTGACCATGGTGTAATAGCGCACAAAATGCATGATAAAGGAATAATAGGAAAAGTTGGCAGATAGATCTATAACTTCCTGACAAATAGAACACAAAGAGTAATAGTAAACAGAGTAAAGTATGAGGCAGCTACAGTGAAAAGCTCTGTTTCACAAGGTACAGTACTCGCTCCCATCGTGTTCCTCATCCTCATATCTGACATAGACAGAGATGTAAGCCATAGTTCAGTGTCTTCCTTTGTGGATGACACCTGGACTGCCATGAAAGTGACCTCCATTGAAGACACAGCAAGACTCCAAGTGGACATAAACCAAATCTTCAAATGGGCCACTCAAAACAATATGAAGTTCAATGAAGAGAAATTTCAACTACTCAGATATGGAAAACTTGAGGAAATTAAAACTGTAACAGGGTATACAACAAATTCTAACCATACAGAAGAGCAAAAAAGTAATGTGAAGGGCCTGGGAGTGATAATGTTAGAGGATCTTGCCTTCCAAGACCAAAACAATATATCTACTGCATCTGCTAGGAAAATGATAGGATGGATAATGAGAACCTTCAAAACTTGGGATGCCAAGCCCATGATGATTCTCTTAAAATTGCTTGTTCTTTCTATGCTGGAATACTGCTGTACACTAACTGCCCCCTTCAAGGCAGGGAAAATTGCTTACCTGGAGTGTACAAAGAACTTTCACAGCACACGTAAGTATGATAAGGTACCTAAATTACTGGGAACAGTTGAAGGCCCTTGATCTGTATTCCCTGGAGTGCAGGCAAGAGAGATACATGATAATATACACTTGGAAAATCCTAGGGGGGGTTAGTACCAAACTTGCACACGAAAACCACTCCCTATGAAATCAAAAGACTCGGCAGGAGATGCAACATTCCCCCAATGAAAAACAAGGGTGCCACGAGTACACTGAGAGACAACATAATAAGTGTCAACTGCCTCCCAGCATACATAAGGAGGATTACCAATAGAGCCCTGGCTGTCTTCAAGAAGGCACTGGACAGGCACCTAAAGTCAGTACCTGACCAACCAGCTGTGGTTCATATGCCAGTTTGCATTCGGCCAGTAGTAGCAGCCTGGTTGATCAGATCCTGAGCCACCATGAGGCCTGGTCTCAGACCAAGGCATGGGGGCACTGACCCCCGAAACCCTCTCCAGGTAAACGGCATCAGTCTATTTAAATATTCCTGGAGTGCTCTAATGTCCTTCTCAGAATGAATTTGTGGGCTTATTTTGGTGTCATTGGCAAACTTGCTTATATTGCTATTTATTCCCTCATCCGTGTCGTTTATGTAGATTGTGAACAAGGGGCCCAACACTGACCCCTGTGGAACACTGCTTGTGATGCTTCCCCACTCCAATTTCTCCCCATTTATGCAAACTCTTTGCTGCCTATTTGTCAACCGTGCCTCTATCTGAGAAAAATTTTTCCTCCTATCCTGTGTGCCTTAATTTTCCTCAATAGTCTCTGATGAGGGGGACTATCAAAAGCCTTGCTGAAGTCCATATACACAATATCATATTCATTACCATGAACTACCTCCTCAAATACCTTAATGAAAAAGGTTAAAAATTCGTAAGGCAGAAATGCCCTTTTGTAAAACCGTGCTTAGATTTGTTGATCAATTTATGCTTTTCAAGATAGCTATGAATTGCCTCGGTAATTAATGAGTCCATAAATTTCCCCACTATGGAGGTTAGGCTTACTGGCCTATAGTTTGAAGCTAAGGACCTGTCACCTGCTTTGAAAATAGGTATCACATTTGCCATTTTCCACTTATCTGGCACTATGCCACACTCTCACACTCTCTCTGTTTTGCTTGGGTTATATAAATACCAGGTTTAATCAATTCATACCACTGGCATACATTTTGATGCACAGTACATTAATTTAAATATTAATACAAAGGTCACAAATGTTATTCATGGATATAGCATTTGCAAAGATCTCAAGAATGTATATCTTATGAACAGAGGTGTTCAACTGTCTTATGAAAATTCATTCAATAACTGCAGCATAAAATATTAATACAAATACAAATACAAGGGTCTGAATCAGTTTTCTGTATACTGTATATAATATCCAGACCAGTCGTGAAGAAAAAAAAAAAAAAAAAAATATGTCAGTATTTCAAATTGTACAAGTTAAACAATGTTACTACTTGTACACTTTTTTTTTCAACACGTTGGTCGTCTCTCACTAAGGCAGGGTGACCCAAAAAGAAAATATTTTCATAATCATTTAACACTTTCACTTCACTCATACATAATCACTGTCTTTGCAAAGGCACTCAGATATGACAGTTCAAAAGTCCCTTCAAACTGTCAATATCCCAAACCCCTCCTTTAACCCTTTCAGGGTCCAGTGGCCAAATTTCTAAGTGCTCACCAGGGTCCAAGAATTTTCCAAAAAAAAAATTTTGTTAATTTTTAACAAAAAGTACGAAATTTGATGGAAAACTGATGAAATTATGCTCTAGCAAATTTTGATGTGTCCGCGATATTTACAAATCAGCGATTTTGCCGACTTTGACTCCCATTTTAGGCCAATTACATTATTCCAGTCGACCAAATTCTTAGCTATTTCACTAGTATTACTTATATTCTATCGATTGAGCACAAAAAATTGCCAAGTCAGCTGTTTCAACTACAAAATAAAGTGATCGGAAATTGGTAATTTGGCCAATTTAACACAAAGTTCAAAATATTCCAGTTTCAAAACAGGGTCCAGAATAAACAATGTAGGCATTCCTGGCACTAAACTAACATTTCCTCTGTTCATTAGTTACATTTTGAGGCTTTACAAATGAATTCCATTTTGATTTTTTATTCACATAATGAATTTTTATTCAAACCAAAAATAGAAGATTTACTGTTATGCAATATTGTAATAATGGTATAAATATCATCACCACATTTGTGAATGTATATTAGACCCATCAGCTGGCATGTATTAGAAGTGTGAGGTCGTTTGTTTACTCTTGAACATCGGCAAAAATTTAACATTTCTACTACTTTGAGCTCAGTTTCAAGCCATTTCCAGTGCTAAAACCAATCAAAATCATCTCTATTTCTGTCAAATGAGACCAAAATATTGCAAATACAACTATAAAAAACATACGAAAAAACACTGCAAAGTCACTGTTTTAATCGAAAATCACTGTCTCAGTTTTTTTTCTCTCATTATACACTGTGTGCTGCAGGATTTGTTTTATGTGGTGCACACATACCACATAGATGTATTCTCTCATATCTAGGCCCAAATTTACAACTCACAGCTTATCAGAGTGAGCTGAGCTCATGGCGTAGATCTACGGTTTGGACCCGGAACATAAAGCCATAGATCTACGGCACAGACCCTGAAAGAGTTAAAGTGCAGGCATTGTACTTCCCATTTCCAGGACTCAAGTCCAGCTAACCAGTATCCCTGAATCCCTTCACAAAATATTACCCTGCTCACACTCCAAACAGCTTGTCAGAGATCAAAAACCATTCATTTCCATTTACTCCTATCTAACATGCTCACACATGCTTGCTGGAAATCCAAGTCTCTCACCCACAAAACCTCCTTCACCCTCTCCCTCCAACCTTTTTGAGGACGACCCCTACCCCACCTTCCTTCTCCTACAGATTTATATGCTCTCCAAGTCATTCTACTTTGATCCATTCTCTCTAAATGACCACACTACCTCAACAACCCCTCTTCAGCCCTCTGACTAATACTTTTAGTAACTCCACACCTCCTCCTAATTTCCACACTCCGAATTCTCTGCATAATATTTACACCACACACTACCTTTAGACAGGACATCTCCACTGCCTCCTTGCTACAGCACTTGCGACCCAAGCGTCATACCCATTTAAGAGCCTTCTTTGCCTCCATGGTTAACATTTTTTGTCTCCACAGATACCTCAATGCACCACTCACCTTGTTTCCTTCATCAATTCTATGGTTAACCTCATCCTTCATAAACCCATCTGCTGACAAGTCAACTCCCAAATATCTGAAAACATTTATTTCTTCCAAACTCCCTCTCTCCAATGTGAGATCCAGCTTTTCTTTATCTAAATCATTTGATACCCTCATCACCTTACTCTTATCTATGTACATATCTATGTACACATGATTTCAATACAGGAGGGCCCCGTGTTTTTTGCTCCTTCTTTTTGGCGGTTTTCAAATGAGCCATTGTTTATTATGTTTGGTGCTTTTTCTGCTTTTCCATGATTTTTCACACAACAGTTTCATAGGGGTAGGGTGACCAGTGCCATATTTTAAGGTAAATATTGTATATACTGTGTATTTATTTTACATTTGTATTTTTTTATTCCTAGCTGTATTAAACACTTAATATCTGATAGTGTAAATATGTTTTAGATGCATTCAATATAGAAAAAATGCTCTTTTCCACTTGCTGATGTTTTGCTTTTCAGCAGGTATTAGGACCCTAACAGCTACAAAAATGGAGTCCCTCCTGTACTTGGTTTGGATGTGTAAAATAAAAGTATTTTGATTTACTACACAACACTGTAAGGTGCACCTCTAAGAGGCCTAAGTTTATAAAAGTAAACTTTCACAAATTTTTAAACCACCATAATATTCATAAAATCTAAATAACAAAGCTCTGATAACAATGCAGTAAATTTGAACACATACTGCTTATCACACTGTAATTTACAGGTCTCAAGGAAGTAACAAAAGTAAAACATACATTGGCAATTCTAGTGGATGTCAAAATACAAACTGAGATACAGGGTATTAGTCAAGTTACAAACATCCACACTTAAGAATAAGCTTCATGAGGAATGACAGAAAAATTGTTTTAATGCCATTCCACAGTCATGAACATGTGTGATACAACTATCCGCTGTACTAATGCATTCTAGAGAAAAATAAGTTCCGAGTTATAGGCAATTTCTTCATAAACTGGAACACCAAAATGCAGCTCATTCTTAAGTAGAATACCAGGAATATACCTGGTTCTTAGGATGGAATACCAGGAATGTAACTCATTTGCTAGATGGGTATCCCCTGTACCTTACCTAAATACATAATGTAACACTAGCCATTTACACTGTGAGGCATAGATGTGCTGCCTGATATGATTAACATATGCTGAACTACACATATATTCAACTGAAAGAATTATTATTTCATTAAGCCTACAATTGATCCAGCAACACCCATAGTTTGGTCATCAATAAGAACAATGTCAAAATTGTCCATGTAAGACTCCAGTCGTTCTTCAACCTAGAAGAAAAAAAGGGATAAATAAAAATTAAAAATTATTGTGAAAATACTATGCAAAGCTGCAAATGAATGAAGATTGTTGGAGGAGAGAGGCTGTTAGTGAAAGAGCCAAATTTGAAAGAGGGCATTATTATTATTATTATTATTATTTTTTTAACACAATGGCCATCTCCTACCGTGGCAAGGTGACCATCCCCCTCCAAAAAAAAAAAAAAAAACTTTCACCATCACTCACTCCATCAGCCTTGTCTGAGGCATACTGATACTACAGTTCAGATGCCCCTCCCACCTCTCCTACAGAATGCAGGCATTGTACTTCCCACCTCCAAGACTCAAATCTGGCTTACTGGTTTCACTAAATCCCTTCATAAATGCTACCTTGCTCACACTCCAGCACATCAAGCTATAAAAACCACCTTCCTCCACTCCTATCTAAAGCACACACATACACCTCTTGGAAATCCAAGCCTCTTGCATGTAAAACCTTTATCTTCTCTCTCCAACCTTTCCTTGGGCTACCCTTATGTCACCTTCCCTCCACTACAGATTTATACACCCTCCAAGTCAGCCTATTTTGCTCCATTTTCTCTAAATGTCCAAACTACCTCAACAACTCATCTTCAGCCCTCTGGATAATACTTTTGGTAACCCTGCACCTACTCTTAATCCCCACATGGCAAATTCTATGCATAATATTTACAACATACACTGCCCTCATACATATCTCCACTGCCTCCAGGCTCTTCCTCACTGCAACATTCACAACCTATGCTTCACATCCTTGAGCATTGGTACCACTATTATGTATTCCCTTTTCACCTCCATGGATAAAATTCTTTGTTTCCACAGATGCTTCAATGCACCACCCACCTGTTTTCCCCTTATTAAATCCATGGTTCACCTCATCTTTCATCGACTCATCCACTGACAAGTTCACTCCCAAATATCTGAATACATTCACTTCCTCCACACTCCCTCCTTCCAATCTGATGTCCAATCTTTCATTACCTAAATTTTTTGTTACCCTCATCACCTTGCTCTTTCCTCTGTTCACTTTTAATTTCCTTCTTTTACATACCCTCTGAAATTCATCCACTAACCTCTGCAACTTTTTTTCAAAAGCACAGTATCATTGGCAAAAAGCAACTGTGACAGCTCCCACTTCATATTAAATTCTATATATTTTAATCCCACACCTCTTTCCAACATCCTAGCATTCTCTTCTTTTAAAATCCCATCTATAAATATGTTAAATAACCATTATGACATTAAGCATCCCTGTCTAAGACCTACTTTTACAGGAAAATAATCTCCCTCTCTTCTACATACCTTAACCTGAGCCTCACTATCCTCATAAAAACTCTTAACTGCTTTCAGCAACTTACAACCTATTCTGTGCATACCTTGTAACATTGCTCCCCTATCCACTATCATATGGCTTTTCTAAATCCATAAATGCAAAGAAAACTTCCTTGCCTTTATCAATATATTGTTCACTTGTATGCTTCAATGTAAACTCTTGGTTTACACATCCCCTACCCTTCTAAAACTTCTTTATTTGTCTGCTAACCTGTTCTTGGTCTTACTCTTAACCCTTTGACTGTCGCAACCCCCAATCCTGAGGTGTCTCCTGGTGTCGCAAAATTTAAAAAAAAAAAAAATTATTTTTTCTTATGAAATGATAGAGAATCTTTTCCCGATTGTAAAGACACCAAAAAAACGAAATTTGATGGAAAACTGACGGAATTACGCTCTCGCGAAGTTAGCGACCTCGGCGATATTTACAAATCGGCGATTTCGCCCACTTTGAGCCCTATTTTCGGCTAATTCCATTATTCCAGTCAACCAAACTCACAGCTATTTCTTCAGAACTCCATTTTTTCCATCGATTGAGTACAAGAAACTGCCCATTTACCGATTTCAACTACCCAATAACATGGTCAGAAATTTGCAATTTGGCCAATTTCACAAAAATTAAAAAATATGACAATTTCAAAATAAGGACCAGAATGAACAATGCAGACATTCCTGGCTCTAAAATAACATTTTCTATGTTCATCAGTCATGTCTCCAGGCCCCTGTGATATTACTCTTGCTTTTTATTTTGAAATTTTATTCAAACAAAAAATAGAAGATTTACTGTTATGCAGACTACTGCAATACTATAATAATTGTAAAAATTACATCAACCCATTCATGACTGCATATTAGAATGGCTATTTGGACATTCACTGGACAATGACATCATTTGTTTACTTCTGAACATCGGCAAAAATCAAACATTTCCTGTACATTGTGCTCCATTTCCAGGTTCGTTTTATAGTAAAATTAATCAAAATCACCTCTATTTCTATAATATAGTTTCCATTCTATCAAATGAGACCAAGAAAACGAGAATACAACCACAAATACTATACGAAAATAGACCACAAAGTCGGCATTTTAATTAAAAACACGGTCGGAGTTTTTTTTTTCTCATTATGCACTGCGTGTTCCAGGATTTTTTTTATATGGTGCACACTGACCACACAGACCCATTCTCTCACATGTGGGCCTACCAGCTTTCTCCTGCCTGATTTGAAGCCGCTAGAATTTATGAGTATATATACGTCAAACACGGTACCTCGTAAATGTATATATACGGCCGCGACAGTCAAAGGGTTAATTATTTTAATAATAACTATTATACCCTAGGTAGTAGGTTGGTAAACAGCAACCGCCCAGGGAGGTACTACTGTCCTGCCAAGTGAGTATACAACGAAAGCCTGTAATTGTTTTACATGATGGTAGGATTGCTGGTGTCTTTTGTCTGTCTCATAAACATGCAAGATTTCAGGTACGTCTTGCTACTTCTACTTACACTTAGGTCACACTATACATACATGTACAAGCATATGTATGCACACACCCCTCTGGGTTTTCTTCTATTTTCTTTCTAGTTCTTGTTCTTGTTTATTTCCTCTTACCTCCATGGGGAAGTGGAACAGAATTCTTCCTCCGTAAGCCATGCATGTTGTAAGAGGCGACTAAAATGCCGGGAGCAAGGGGCTAGTAACCCCTTCTCCTGTATATATTACTAAATGTAAAAGGAGAAACTTTCGTTTTTCCTTTTGGGCCACCCTGCCTCGGTGGGATATGGCCAGTGTATTGAAAGAAAGAAAGAACTATTATACCATATACTTTACCCGGCATACTCAACAAGCTTGTTTCCTTATAATTTTTACACTCTTACTCCCCTTTCCTTTATACAAAGGAACTATGCATGCTCTCTGCCAATACCTAGGTACCTTCCCTTATAACATTTCTGTCTTGATCCCATCAAGCCCAGCTGCTTTACCCCCTTCCGTTTTACCCACTGCCTCACACACCTCTACCACACTCACATCTGGTTCTTCCTCACTCCTAAAAGTATTATTCCTCCCTGACCAATGCATGAAATCACTGACTCCCTTTCTTCATCAACATTTAACAGCTCCTCAAAATAGTCTTGTCAACTTCCCAATACCTCTAACTTTCCCTCTAATAACTGTCAAATCAATTCGTTTCCTAGGCTTTCTCAACTCAACATTGCTACTATTATTACAGGAAAGCACTAAACCCATAAGGGTAATATAGTGCCAAGAGAATGGGAGGAAATTGGGTCTTATCTGAGGAAGAGGAGGGCAGCTCCAATTTTTGGGTTCTAGAATCATTCACCACCATCAAGGATCCCCATGAAGAGAAAAAAGGGGCTATTGGAGGAGTAAAATGTGAAAAGATACTAATGTTGATCAAGTAATATAAAAAGTGTAAAGAAGAGTGACTGAGATGACACATTATTTAACATTTCATTGTCAACCAACTGTTGCTAAAATTTACCATTTTTGTCCTAGGCCTTGATCCAAGGTACTAAAGCTGCCCATCCCCTTCCTTGGATCAAATTTGACTACCTCCAATTCTGCATGCACTGTGTGACATGATAGAGTTAGAGCTTCACCCATGAATATGATAATAATTAGTCGTAGGCCCACAAAATCCATGTTTTTTTAATGAAAATTTAATTAAATACCTGCATAAAAATAAGGAAATGAATTATGGTATGTATTCCAAGAACTTTTGTTATCTGCTGCTAATGGCTGACATACTATGATTAACTGAATGTGTAAAGATAATGAGGTGACTCTTCCTAGAAATGCAGCAAATACTTTAGCAGAGATAATGGCTATGTTAATAGCACATTACCATCAGTACATTGTAGAAACACATCACCCATCTGTACAATGATGCACATCATCCACCTGTACACTGACAGGACAGGTGGGTTTATTATCCACCTGAACAGTAAAGGATGACATTACCCATTTACCATTTAAACATTACATGGTTGTGCTACACCCATCATCATTTAGAGCCAATGTTTTACAACAGTCCTTACCTTATCATTGAGGAATCCTATCTTTAAGACGTTACTTGGCTGTGGGACTCCCATGGCCATTTTGATATCACCAAGAGAATCTCCCATGAGTATCACATTGTTTCGTCCTTTTAGCTTGTCAAAGTAATCTGATGAGTGAATTGCATTTTCATTCTTGTTGAAAATGTGAACTAAATCACCTTTGAAGCCAATCATAACACCCTGAAATAAGTATAAAATGTATTAGTTTAAATCTTTAATTTGATGTAACTGTTTCACCCATTTCAAATGAAATGAAATATAATTGACAGATTATTCCAAATATGGCTAAATGAACTTTGCACTTATCTTTCCATTAGCACGCATGGTATTTCAAAATTAATACATGTCATCAATCTTCACTAGTGTATGAGAGCCTTTTTTAAAACTTATACATTGACGGAAAATTTAACTTTCTAACAGAGCACGGTAATCCTCCCTCTCCCCTTCCCACATTTTATAGCAGCAGGATGCCAAAAGATGTAAAGTGAGACTTGCTTGTTTCAACCATCTAAATACTAATTAGGCCTTCTCTACAGATAGTCTTGGTGGGGACTGTGATGTCTTCAGGCATCTTTCCTGTATGTTATTTTTATTAACACATCAGTTGTTTCCCACCAAGGCAGGGTGGCCCGAAAAAGAAAAATTTTCATCATTCACTCCATCACTGTCTTGCCAGAGGCATGCTTACACTGCAGTTATAAAGCTGAAACATTAACACCCCTCCTTCAGAGTGCAGGCACTGTACTTCCCATCTCCAGGACTCAAGTCCGGCTTACCGGTTTCCCTGAATCCCTTCATGAATGTTACCTTGCTCACACTCCAACAGCATGTAAAGTCCTAAAAACCATTTGTCTCCATTCATTCCTTTCTAACATGCTCACACATGCTTGCTGGAAGTCCAAGCCCCTAGCACACAAAACCTCCTTTACCCTCTCCCTCCAATCTTTCATAGGCTGATCCCTACCCTGCCTTCCCTCCACTAAAGATTTATACACTCTTGAAGTCATTCTGTTTTGTTCTATCCTCTCTACCTGTCCAAACCACCTCAATAACCCCTCCTCAACCCTCTGGATAATAGTTTTGGTAATCCCACACCTCCTCCTAATCTCCAAAGTATGGATTCTCTGGAAATATAAACACATATGCAGTATAATGTGATCCTTTATTGACAACGTTTTGCCCACTCAGTGGGCTTTTTCAAGTCACAAACAGATCTGTTAGTGACTTGAAAAAGCCCACTGTGTGGGCAAAACGATGTCAATAAAGGATCACATTATACTGCATATGTGTTTATATTTCCATTGTGTCGTTATTTTATACCATTTATTTCTATGGATTCTCTACATTATATTCACACCACATATTGCCTATATATACATACATTTATACATATACGCAAACATATACATATACAGTGGAACCTTGGCTTACAAACACCCCACCATGCAAATTTTTCAGGATACGAACCGTTGTTCGGTTGATTTTTTTTGCTTTTGGATACGAACGAAATTTCAGGATGCGAACTTCCCTCTCAAAGGAGGTTCCTTAAATAAATAAATAAATACAATATTTATTTCTTTGCAAAGGTTACAATGTGTGTTTACATATATATATGACTGGAGCAAAGAAAGCCACTATCTTTAGCGAGGCATTTCGAGCAGACTTAACCTAACACTAATAGACTACTTATTTCTAGACAGGTGAAAAGTGTACTAGTAGTGGTTACCAATGTTTTGCTGATGGTGGTGCCAACTACTGGCAGCCTTTTGAAGTTTCTCCTTACTGTTAATATTATTATTATTACTATGTGTGCACAAATTGGAAATAAATAAATTACTATTATATTGTATTATGTATTATTATTGTTATAATAATTATTATTATTATTACTAGTATGTATGTGGTGATGGGCTCTTGATCTAGGGAATTGGATCTGTGCTCCAGTTCCCTAAATTAATAATAATAATAATAATATTATAATATATATATTAATAATAATAATAATAATTATAATAATCCATGTTAGGTAAGACACATATGCAACAGTTAGGTATCTTTATTATGAAACGTTTCGCCTACACAGTAGGCTTCTTCAGTCGAGTACAGAAAAGTTGATAGAAGCAGAAGATACTTGAAGACGATGTGATCAGTCCATCACCCTTAAAGTTTTGAGGTGGTCAGTCCCTCAGTCTGGAGAAGAGCATTGTTCCATAGTATGAAACAATATTGTTTCATACTATGGAACAATGCTCTTCTCCAGACTGAGGGACTGACCACCTCAAAACTTTAAGGGTGATGGACTGATTACATCGTCTTCAAGTATCTTCTGCTTCTATCAACTTTTCTGTACTCGACTGAAGAAGCCTACTGTGTAGGCGAAACGTTTCATAATAAAGATACCTAACTGTTGCATATGTGTTTTACCTAACAACCTGTCGGTATTTTATACCATTTTAATGTTCATAATAATCCATGTGTACTAAGAATAATAATAATTATAACAACAATATTAAATGGAGAGTTAGAGGTATTGGGAAGATGGAGGGAATATTTTGAGGAATTGTTAAATGTTGATGAAGATAGGGAAGCTGTGATTTCGTGTATAGGGCAAGGAGGAACAACATCTTGTAGGAGTGAGGAAGAGCCAGTTGTGAGTGTGGGGGAAGTTCGTGAGGCAGTAGGTAAAATGAAAGGGGGTAAGGCAGCCAGGATTGATGGGATAAAGATAGAAATGTTAAAAGTAGGTGGGGATATAGTTTTGGAGTGGTTGGTGCAATTATTTAATAAATGTATGGAAGAGGGTAAGGTACCTAGGGATTGGCAGAGAGCATGCATAGTTCCTTTGAATAAAGGCAAAGGGGATAAAAGAGAGTGCAAAAATTATAGGGGGATAAGTTTGTTGAGTATACCTGGCAAAGTGTATGGTAGAGTTATTATTGAAAGAATTAAGAGTAAGACGGAGAATAGGATAGCAGATGAACAAGGAGGCTTTAGGAAAGGTAGGGGGTGTGTGGACCAGGTGTTTACAGTGAAACATATAAGTGAACAGTATTTAGATAAGGCTAAAGAGGTCTTTGTGGCATTTATGGATTTGGAAAAGGCGTATGACAGGGTGGATAGGGAGGCAATGTGGCAGATGTTGCAGGTGTATGGTGTAGGAGGTAGGTTACTGAAAGCAGTGAAGAGTTTTTACGAGGATAGTGAGGCTCAAGTTAGAGTATGTAGGAAAGAGGGAAATTATTTCCCAGTAAAAGTAGGCCTTAGACAAGGATGTGTGATGTCACCATGGTTGTTTAATATATTTATAGATGGGGTTGTAAGAGAAGTAAATGCGAGGGTCTTGGCAACAGGCATGGAATTAAAAGATAAAGAATCACACATAAAGTGGGAGTTGTCACAGATGCTCTTTGCTGATGACACTGTGCTCTTGGGAGATTCTGAAGAGAAGTTGCAGAGATTGGTGGATGAATTTGGTAGGGTGTGCAAAAGAAGAAAATTGAAAGTGAATACAGGAAAGAGTAAGGTTATGAGGATAACAAAAAGATTGGGTGATGAAAGATTGGATATCAGATTGGAGGGAGAGAGTATGGAGGAGGTGAATGTATTCAGATATTTGGGAGTGGACGTGTCAACGGATGGGTCTATGAAAGATGAGGTGAATCATAGAATTGATGAGGGGAAAAGGGTGAGTGGTGCACTTAGGAGTCTGTGGAGACAAAGAACTTTGTCCTTGGAGGCAAAGAGGGGAATGTATGAGAGTATAGTTTTACCAACGCTCTTATATGGGTGTGAAGCATGGGTGATGAATGTTGCAGTGAGGAGAAGGCTGGAGGCAGTGGAGATGTCATGTCTGAGAGCAATGTGTGGTGTGAATATAATGCAGAGAATTTGCAGTTTGGAAGTTAGGAGGAGGTGCGGGATTACCAAAACTGTTGTCCAGAGCGCTGAGGAAGGGTTGTTGAGGTGGTTCGGACATGTGGAGAGAATGGAGCAAAACAGAATAACTTCAAGAGTGTATCAGTCTGTAGTGGAAGGAAGGTGGGGTAGGGGTCGGCCTAGGAAAGGTTGGAGGGAGGGGGTAAAGGAGGTTTTGTGTGCGAGGGGCTTGGACTTCCAGCAGGCATGCGTGAGCGTGTTTGATAGGAGTGAATGGAGACAAATGGTTTTTAATACTTGACGTGCTGTTGGAGTGTGAGCAAAGTAACATTTATGAAGGGGTTCAGGGAAACCGGCAGGCCGGACTTGAGTCCTGGAGATGGGAAGTACAGTGCCTGCACTCTGAAGGAGGGGTGTTAATGTTGCAGTTTAAAAACTGTAGTGTAAAGCATCCTTCTGGCAAGACAGTGATGGAGTGAATGATGGTGAAAGTTTTTCTTTTTTGGGCCACCCTGCCTTGGTGGGAATTGGCCAGTGTGATAATAATAATAAAAAATAATAATAATAGTAATAATAATAATAATAATATGTTGTCATTTTTAGACATTTTTGTAATTTTTTTTTTCATATTTTTGTGCCAAATGCTTCAAAATACAAATTGGTAACCCTCTGGGTGGCAGTAGGTATAGCTGCTAGACCACGGCTATCTCAGTGCCAACCAAGGGTCAAAAGAAAGGGGAGGTGAGCCACTCTGAGCGACTGCAGCAGACCCTTGGGATGCATAATTTTGTCTTATATTGTACAAATTTCTTACACAATGCCTCACCCAAAGAGAGAGTATTCACGTACAATCAGCAAGAAGCGATTAGAAACTATGAAAAAAGCTGGAGAAATGAAGAAGGCAGCAGCAGAGGTGAGGCAGCTGGCCACCACCACCACTGCAGCCTCCGCCACCACCACCACCAATGTGGCCACCACCACCACCACTGTAACTGCCACCACCACCACCACCGCTGTGGCCACAGTGATCACATCTTCACCTATATATACGTACATCTGTCTTGACCACACCTGTGGTTACATATGTGACAACCTCACCACTAATCATAGATAAACACAAGCTAGGTGTGGGGTTATGGACTGGGAAGATACTAGAGTGGGAGAGTAAATGGCGGCAGGATGCTGCTGCCGAGGTTGCCATCACTCGCCAAATTATGGCCCATATCATTCATTCTAGAGTATATATCATGTTTCTATGTTATTAATATTGTTTATGTCATATTAGATGAATTGTGACAGATAAC